AGGTACCACTTTTATCCCCACCCCTTAGCATCCCTGTGTCTCTGAATGAGATAGTCTGCAGGAAGTGGGTTATTGGATGTGGTGTAAGTCCAAAGAGCCCAGCACTTCCTACTCACAGTACTCCCAAAATGCAAACTAGTGTTTTTCTTCTGGAGAATGACTGCTAAGAAGTAAAGAAGGTAAGGAAGGTCTATCTGCTGTATAGAATTAAAAACCTGCTATTAGGAATGAATTGTTGACCTAGAGATAGCCTTGTTATGGAGACCCTTGTTGGTTACCTTGTGCATACTACAGTTGTATAATTCACAGAGTGACTGGATTTGATGAGACCATGGACTGCTTTATTGTAAAATGTCTTAGATCTTTGGTAAACCATATATAACATGAAGTACTATTGTAATAAGAAATACTCCCAAATTAATGAGTTCAGATATTTGTTCTTATGTACTGAAAACTCATTCTTTTTTTTTGAGTGACTCATATCTACGGTGACCTGGGTAATCATTTATGAGCATAAGGATGCTGTTGAACTATTGTGTAATTCTGATGTACATTCTGATTCATCAAAGGAAGATTAACTTTAAATTGGTACATGTAACGTATGTCTTGATGATTAAAAAATCAACAGTAAAACTTACTGGTTAAGTAGGTCAGTAAACCAGAATTTGTTCCAATAATTTATCTAGATGGAAATTTATTGTTAGAGTCATTGTGTATCTTATAATTTAAAATGTCTTAGTTTTCTTATTAAGTTTAATTACAAAATTGCCCAGTTTATTCTATATTTTTTGAAACTTGACCTGTTTTTCAGGAATTAGTGATTATGTGTTCTCTATAAAAGTAGTTTTGAAAATAGCCAAGTTCTTTATATAAACTCCTAATAGATGACAAATACTGTATTTAAAAGCACATAATTCCTGTTGGGGTGATTTAGTAGGGTCCTGGCTTGGGTCCTTGCCACATTTAAAAATGTCTCTTAGGCTGAAGCTGGAGCCCTCACTGAGACGGAAGCTGTGTTAATTTGTCCTCCTGGGGCTGCATTGATTATCTGAGATGAGAAAAATTCATAATGACCACTTCACTTAGTGCTTATAGGAAGCTTTGTTATTACTAAGATTTGTTAAGATACTAATTTCTGAAATACATAGCTCCTCGTTATTTTTAACCTTCTGCTCTCAGTTTCTGCAAAAGGGTGAAGGAGGAACTTGCTGGATTTTATTTCGAATCGGGAAAGTCAGGACTTTTTAATAATGACATTTTAACCCATTACATACTCAGACTCCTTTGTGCCCTTTAATACCACTGCCCTAACAATTACTGAAAACATTTTGATGGTATTTTCTTAATGCCGTTCTTACCTAAATGACCAGTTTACATTACCTTTTAGTTTAATGTTCAAATTATTCTAAGCAAAAAGTAAATGACTATGAGTAAAGCAGAAGAGATTGAATCCTTTTGTTCTTCAGAGAATCTTTATAAATCACTTTTTCATAAGTGCTGTAATTTATTTTAATTATATATCTTGCATAGAAGAATTTGCCATTTTTTATTCTAATGTAATACAAGAAAATATTAATAAAGAATATATAAAAAGAATTCTCCTTTTATGAAAAAATAAAATTTTGTAATAAAATAACTAGAGAATAACAATAGTTAATTCATGGTGGATCAGGATCTTAAAGGGATGGCCCAAATGTTGTTCAGAGTACAAGTCATAGACAGAAAAGACTGCCTCTCACAAAGAAGAAACAACTTTCTTTCCATGAACGAAGAGAAACTAGTAGTATAAATGAAATAAATTAGCATATATTTTAAAATATTTTTGAAACAATGGAATAGATAATTTGGGGAATTATTGAACTTTTCTCTGCTTCCTATTTACCCATCTTCTGTTTTGCGCTCTCTCTCACCCTTTTTATAGATGTATATGTGTATGTATGTGTATGTGTGTGTGTGCATGTGCATATATATTTCGAATTTGTTATATAAGAGAGACCATGCAATATTTAAGCTTGCGTGCCTGGCTTATTTCACTTAACATCCTGCTCCCTCATATTATTGTACTTTATATTATTGCAGGCCATGCAGGGATACACACTGTTCTCCCCCTACACTGTATGTCAGTTATGACATGGCTCATTATGACACACTTGTACAACTGGATGGATGAAATTGAGCTCCCTCAGCTTCTCTACAAACCATCAACTACCAAAACTGAAAACCTTCTCAACCTTGTTAGCCTCATATACTAATATTCTGCATTTATATTAGTATCCTATCCACAATTACAAACAACTGTGTTTCTTTTTATTTATACCTACTCTGCCTCATCCCTGAGAATTCCAGGCTACTTCCTGATGGTGTTAAGCTAGCGTTAAGAGGGACTGACAGTAAGTCTGTTTTGTTTTGTTTTGATAGCACTGGAATTGAATGAGACTGATGTTCTTTAAGATTCAGCTGCAGAGAATGTAGAGTAGAGAGTTCCAGGAGAAACAGTCCAGGAATAGGTTCGTGAGGAGGGCCTGCTACACTGGGCACACACGGTGAGCTGGGCGGGTGGGGGTGGTAAATGCAAAGGGGCTAAGTGCTTGCTGGCTTCTGGAGGTGCAGTGCCCTTTTGTAGTTCCTCTACCCAGAGGGAGTGATGTTTCTAGTTTGCGCAAAGGAGTCTTAGAGTGTTAGTTGCTGCTGCCCTGTTCACTAGGTTAGGTTTCGTATCGGCGCCCACTCTGACTGGTTGGGGAATGCCGGAACCCTGTGTTGTGTAATATATCTCTGGGCGCTGGAGGGAGGAGCCAAGATGTGGATGACTCTGAGGCTTGAACTCTTTAATGGCTTAAAATATAGATGTGAGTGTGTTATTTATTTTATTTTTTTATTTTTTGGTTTTTCTCCAGTACCGGGAACCGAACTCATGACCTTGCGCTTGCCAGGCAGGCGCTTTGCCGCTGAGCTAAATCCCCAGCCCCTAGTGTGTTATTTATTTTGCAGCGTTTGAAAGTGCAGCCTCAAGATTCGGTCTGAGTCCCAATCCAGCATTTTGTTTATCAAGTTTATGTCTTTGGGCAGCCGTCTTAATTTCTCTGAATATCCACTCTTTCTTTTTAAGTGGAGGTAATGGTATTTCTTGTCTCACAGAATCATTGCAGTAATTCAGCGAGTCAGTGTGTTCCAAGTGTAAGCATAGCTCTTGAACATAACGAGCTCAGCTGTATCAGCCTTCCTTACTGTAACTGCCGTGATTGTCCTTTCCTGTAGTACACAGGCCTTTATTGTCACGGCCTGCCGTCTGCACATTCAGTGTCAGCTTCTCTTTCTCTTGTTCTTGTTTTGTTTTGTTTTGTTTGAGACAAAGTCTCATCAGTTTGGATTGGCCTTGAGCTTGCTGTGTAGCCCACGCTGGTCTTGAACTTCTAATCCTCCTGCCTCAGCCTCCCAATGCTGGAATTACATGCGTGTACTGCTGCATCAGCTTTATTTTCTCTTAGCCATCAGATTGTTTGCATTGCCACTTTTCTTCTGGGTTATTGCAACAGCATCCGATGCTTTCTCTCCACTCCCTGTTGAGAAAGATCAGATGACTGTGACTTTCTGAGTAAGGTGGATGTAATATAAAGCTATCTGTTAAAATTAAGGACAGAAGTAGGGCTGCAAACTAGAATATTCTTATGGGACAATTAGTAGGACGTCTGTGAGATGGTTTCATGACCTTGAGATCAGAAAAACATGCATTTGAATTAGGTGCCTTCATTATCATTTTAGAATTTTTTTTTAGTAGTATCCTATAACCAGAATGGAGAGTAGAGAAAGCAGTGGAAATCTGTGGATGTGTGGACAGAAAAGAGGACAAGGGTTGAGGAGCTGAGATGGCGAGGGCTGGCTACCAGTTCTACAGTCTGAAGCCAGGCAGTCAGCCTGCACTGGAGATAACGGGCTGAGTCCACAGGGGGAGGAAAAGACGAAGGGAAGGCGAAAAGTAGGGTCACTTTCAAGGGGAGGATGAATGAAAAGAGTGGAGTGGGCCAGGGACATAGCTCAGTGGCACAGTACCTGTCTGGCAAGCGCAAGATCCTGAGTTTGATTCCTGGTATCAAAAATGAAAAAGTGTGGTATATTCAAACATAGATGATGAAAAGAATAAATGAACTTGAGGGACTGCTCAGCGGAAACAGCAAGTTGCAGAATACCACTTATGTAAGATTTATAAACACATGTAAAACAATACCTCACTGGAAGTCCCACTTGTTACTATTTTAGGCAAAATTCTGTACTCTCAGCTCACGACAGATTAGAAAGAGCAAATTAAATTACCTTGTTAGCTACAAAAAATGACCCATTATTGAAGTTGGAAGAGACACACAGAACTACTAGATTTGATACAAGCAAGGATAAAATGGCATAGGTAAAATTAATATAGGATAAGCAGTCTTATAACTAAATAGCATTATTAAGGCAACATTTGATAGCTGATGTTCATGATTTAAGACCTTTTTCACCATTAAAAGTCAATTTAAAATTTTGTTTGCAGCGCTGTGGATTAAACTGAGGGCCTCACGCATGCTAGGTCAGTGCTCCATCGCTGAGCTACATCCTCTGGCCGTTTAAAATTTTTCTTTTATTTTGAGATAGGGTCTTGCTAAGATTGCCCAGGCTGGCCTTGAACTTCTAATCTTTTTGTTTAAGCCTGGCTGTCACTTTAAATTTTATTTGGAAGTGGGTATGTAATTAAGATTTTCATGAAAAAAAAATTTTTTTTTAATTGGGAAAAGGTATGTTTTAAGTGTCCTTGGAACATTTTTCTCATGTGGAATACTTCATGTTTGTTGGGGTAAAGAATCACTATAGTGGTAAGCAGAGGTGATAGCTTGAGAGTCAAACCACAGCAGATAGAGCTAGCATGTAGAAGGCCTTAGGTTTGATCCCTGACACCACAAAGTAATACAAAATAACAATAACTAAATGATTGTTGCTTATATGTATGCACTTTTTTTTAAAAACAGATTGTTTAACAAACAACAGTGAAGAATTGTCAAACACTACAGTATCTTTCCTCAACCTGTTTAATCAAACCTTGACCTGCTTTGAGAGTAACCTTCAGGTATTTTAAATATATTTGAAATGAAAATGCTGTTTTATACAAATGAATGATGTGTAATTCTAAATTTTTATAGCATGAATTGTTGATATTTGTGCATACTTGCAATGTAGAGGACCTCGATCTGTATTTCTTTTGAGTTCTTCTAGCTACAAATCATTAAGACTACAATTGCCTTCCTTATAAAGTAGGGATAGTAGTATCTACCCTGCCTTCCTTCGGTATTGTGTAGTGAGGATCTGATGAGATAATGGACATGGGAACATTAACTGAGCCGTGCAGTTATTTAATTAAAATACAGTGAAATACCTGGACTTTGTTTATGGAATAAAATATTTTGCAGTGCATTATAATTCTGTCTATGGGAAGCTTATTTTCTGCCTCAATATTTTAAAAATATGTTTCATATACTTAAAAAGGCACTGTTTAAAAAAAAAAAAGGCACTGTTTAGTAAATAACTTTGAGTATTGAATTATGATATCAGGGTAGCCTTCAAGAATTCTACCTTACAAACTGGGCATGGTGGTGCACACCTGTAATCCCAGCACTGGGAGGCTGAGGCAGGAGGGTCATTGCAAATTCGAGGCCAGCCTAGGCTACAAAGTGAGTTCAAGACCAGACCAAGGAATTCTACCCTACAGATTTTTATTGTCTCCATCTTTGATCTTTGAATTTTGGCATTGGAACTTAGTAGGAAATTTATGGTTTCAAAGATTAGTGTTTTAAGAGATGTATATGAAGCAAATTAGTTTTCATGTCATGTTAGTTGCACATTTTTTCTTAGTTTGTTTTTTGTTGTATTTTTCTTTTGTCATGAAGAAAATTTTAATTTTGTTAGATTTATGTTATTTAAATAGCCTGTGGGTATTTGTGACACATGAAAAAGGCTTTTGCCACATAGGGATTATCTTTAAAATTTGTTTTAGTACTTCTACGGTTTCATGTTCTATATTTAAGCTTTTTTTTTTTTTTTTTTTTTTTTTTGGTTTTTCAAGACAGGGTCTTGCTATTTAGTGCAGGCTGGCCTTGAACTCACTTTGTAGCCCAGACTAGCCTTGAACTTACAGCAATCTTCCTGCCTCAGTCTCCCAAGTGCTGGCATTATAAGCATGTACCACCACATCTGGCAATTTAAACATCTTTTTATCTTAAAAGTTTTAAATATATTTGAATCTGTAGTTCTCTTTCAGTTTGCAAGATTAAACAATATCTACTGATTCTTTCCTAGACCAAGGTAGAATTCCATACTCATAATTAATTGAAATACTCTGAAACGTGAAATCCAGATTTTTGTTAAAGCAGGAGTCTTATATTTAAATACTTTTTAAAATTTGTTGTTGTTGTTGTTGTTGTGCTAGGGATTGAACCCAGGACCTGCTGCATGCTAGGCAGTACACTTCTGTGGAGTTATTGTGTTTCCTCCTTGTTATATGGTAAAGAAGCAAGTAATAGAAACCAAAGTTGTAAGCTTTTTATTAAAAAGGCAGATGTCAATCTAAAAGTGTAAAAATTGAGATTGCTAACTTACTAATTTATATGCTATCTCTACCCATATTGTAGGCTATTTCTTTTTTGTACTTGCCCCTTTTTGTTGACTAGAAAGGTCTGGATTATTTTATTTTATTTATTTTATGTTATGTTATGTTATTTTTATTTTTGAGACAGGGTCTTGCTAGACAGTTCAGGCTGCCGTTGAAGTTACTATGTAGCCCAGGCTGGCCTCGAACTCACAGTGATTCTCCTGCCTCAGCCTCCTGAGTACTTGAGAAAAGAAAATGTTCATGAGTCATACACAGTTAGCTGTAATTTTTTTTTTTTTTTTTTGGGTCTTTTTGAAACAGGGTTTGTCTATGGCATTTAGGCTGGACTTGAACTCATTTTTAGCCCAGGCTGGCCTTGCTCTCACAGTGATCCTCATGCCTTGGCCTCCTAAGTGCTGGGATTACAGGAATGTGCCACTGTGTCCAGTGTTACAGGCTTAGAAAGGCCTGCATTATGAGCCTTGTGAAGAGAATTTCATGGGGCCACACTTTTGTTCCCTTTTCTCCTCCCGTTATAAAAGTCCTGCCTCAGTCAAGTAAATGTGATGAAGTCATCACTGGCAGGGACATATTTTATTTTTTCAGTGAAAGTAGGGTAGAGAAGTGCAGATAGATAATGATGAGCTAACTTAAGGAATTTGGTATGTTCGTGCCGGTGGTTTGGCACATAAGCTAGTGTTCATTTAACAGTGGCTGGTATAGTGATTTTCAAAATTTAAGGACACCTTAGAAAGTGCCAGATATTCTGCCGTGTGCCTTACACAGCAGGCCTCTAGCCCTTAGCAGCCACAGTACAGGTGTCTTGCCCAGCGTCCCAGCTCAGCACTTTAGCACACCATGTTTTCACTTGCCCTGGGAGACCAAGTGTCCATAGTTTACATGACAGAGATGTGTGTAGCGTTTATTCTTTGTATTTCATCTGTCTTTGTCATTTTAGGGGAGCACACACAGTCTTCTACCACCAAAAAACTACTCAGAGGTGTGCAAAAGCTGCCGTGAAAAATACAAAAATCTAAGTAGTCTGTACAGTGAAATGCAGAAAATGAATGAACTTGAGAATAAGGCTGAGCCAGGAACGCATTTGTGCATCGACGTGGAAGATGCGGTAAGTACTTTCCCTCTGGTGAGATGCGTGTTTTGCAGCGTTGTTGAATGTATCCTCAGTATCATCTCTCTCAGAGGTACATTGGAATCTGCGTATGTTGTCTTTAATCAGAAATAATTGTAGTAGTTATAAAATAGTAAGGTTTTAGAATATTCTGGTCTGGCAAACTAGAATGAAAATTAATCAGGCACTTCATAAGGTGTGGGCATTGTTACATGTTTATATTTCAGTTTCTTGTACACTTGTTAAAGAAGTTTCTAGGTTTTACTATAATTTTTTCAAAAAGTGATTGTTCAGTCACTTCCTATCACATTATTTCTTTATATCTATCATGATCTGACAGTGTTTATTCATTTATAGCATATCACCACTCACTAAAATATAAGCCACATGAGGACAAGGACCTAATCTTTTTTGTTCATCATTCAGTAAGATAATGTCTGACATACAGTGAATTCTGAATAAATATATATTGATTAAATGATCAACCAAAAGCTTTTTTCCCCATGGTAGCCTGCCCTTACATGGGGTACCACTAGATGGCAGTAATGCCTTTTTAGGCAATATGATGCCTGAGACTTGAGGGTTAGAGGAAACAAATTATTGGCTCAGAGTAGGGAATTAGAAATCAAGATTAAAAGCTGAGAATAATGAGTGTGAATTATCATAGCATCTCAGAAACTGTATGGACTGGTAACATTGAGGATGGTAAGAAGCACTTCAGTTGGCTGTACCATGGGTTTTTGTTTCTACTGCTCTGTTCCTGTTGCCTAGAATAGTATTCAGTTTGTAGTAGGCTCTCAATAAGTAATAAATAATCTTTAAGGAAGGAAGCAAAATCTGCTGCACTCCTACTCATATGAGTTCTCTGTTTGAAAGCTACCGAGTGGTCGACATTCTGTTACACCCTGCTCAGTATGTAAATGTAAACAATGACTAATTATAAATCAGTATATTTCCCTGGCAAAAAAAAATTGTCTTCAACCTTCAGTATATTTTTTAGGGTTGAGTATTTAGTTTAAATTCCTAGTGCCTGTTTAGACATTAACAAAATATTACAAGAAATTGAAGTCAAGTTAAATACAGAAGAGAACAATACCATTTGCTGTTGTTCCCAGATGAACATTACTCGGAAACTTTGGAGTCGAACTTTCAACTGCTCGGTCCCGTGCAGCGACACCGTGCCTGTGATCGCGGTCTCTGTGTTCATCCTCTTCCTCCCCGTCGTCTTCTACCTTAGTAGCTTTCTTCACTCAGAGCAAAAGAAACGCAAGCTCATTCTACGTAAGTTCTCTTCTAGTCATTCGTTTGTTTAGATAGCAGCCTTATCTATTTAGATCTATTTTAATACGTGTATATAGTATATATATAGAGAGAGAACTCGAAGTATATAAGCCTAAAATGGCTCTGTGTTTTACATTTTACAATCATACTTATTAATGGAAGAGGTGTATGAGAATTTTGTAAGTATAGATAACTAAATATCAAAAGACAGTGTCTTTCAAGTGATTAACTGAATTAGATCAATTCTAGATTGCCCTTAGAACAGGGTTGGTGACAGCGGAAGGGTAGTGGCAGGGCATGTTGTCCTGGCATGGCAGTAGCAGATGGTGATGTAGACAGCTCTTAGGAGTCATGGTAGAGCCACCTCCAGTGCAGGTGATAGATGGAATTATAGCTTACATGCCATTTGATTTTTTTTTTTTTTCTGGCATAATTTTTTTCTCAGTACTAGGAATTGAACCCAGGGCCTTCATGCTGAACTATATGCCTAGCCATTTTAATTTTTATAAATTTTGAGATAGAATCTTGCTAAACCACTAAGTTGTCCAGGCTGGGCTTGAACTTGCAATCCTTCTGTCTCAGCCTCCTGAGTTCTAAGATTACAGATGTGTGCCACTGTGCCTGGGCAGATTAATTTTTTTAAACACAGATGTTACCATGTCCCTCTCCCACTTGGAACCCTTTGTGTGTTCCTGCTGTACCTGGGGCAGTTCGGACTTCCTTCCACAATCTGCCCTCCCAGCTGTATGTGACCCAGCCTCCATCTGACTCCTCACATCTCTGCATTGCTTGTGCTACTGTAGGCAGTTGGCTTTCTTCCTGTTCCTCTCAGACTCCAAGTTCATGCACTCCACTGCCTGTCCAAGGCCCTGCCCACTTTCCTTAACTTGGCCCCTGGTCATCTAGGGCTTCTCTTGAAGGTTGCTTTCTCAGAGACCTTTTAGCCTTCTCTCAGTTAAAAATACACCCTTTCCTTCATTCTTATGTATCTTTAATGGCATTCAATCACTAACTTAAGTTAAATAATTTGAGTCATTTAAGCTCCATCAAAGCAAGAATTTTATCTTGTTCACTTTTATATCACCAGCGTCTAGAAAGTACTGGCCCATTTTTGTTGAATGAAACATTATGCTATATTTAATGTTAGTGTTTTTCAAAATACTAGTCATGTGAAATTCTGTGTGAAAAAATGATGGGTCAAATATAAAGAAATACTGCATACTATATCTGTTTCATGAGTTTCTTATGTACAGGAATATAAAGTAAAGACCTTCAGGTTGTGTGTCTCAAAACTAAAGAATAGGAACTTTGTATAACACATACTAATGTTTCACAGAAGCAGTGCTCATAAAACACATCTAAGGCAATGCGAGGGGCCTGGTAATGTAGCTCAGAGGTGGAGTGCTTGCCTAGCATATGCCTGAGTAGAGGGAGAGACACAGTATGGTTGGGCCACACAATAAGACTCTAAGGGTTTTGGAATTCACCATTATATGATCCCAGGGGTGGAATTTTTAAAAATGTAGAGGTTAATTAGATAGAGACCAGAGGCTTAAGGAATTTTTAGGTGTATGTACCTATGAGTATTGCTACCTGGTCAGTTTATTAAGTAATTTGATAATTAGAAGCTAGATCACTTCTAGTAATTTTAAATAAATAGAAAAACCAAAAATATCAAACTACTGATTTAGTTTGGCTCCCAAATCCACTGAAGGTTTAAGAAGTAGACTTCCTGTTTAGGTCATATTTTAGGTCAAGTCTGCCCTTTAGTTTAGGCTGAAGCAATACACTGGTTTAAGAAGTGATGTGGTCATTTTTGCATATACAGTGGTGGTCAAGGGAAACCCTGGGAGAAACTAAAGCAGTCATTCTCATCTTTGGCTGTGTATCAGAATTATCTGCAGAGTTTAAAACTAATACAGGTACCTCGGGCACACTGCAGATCTTCCTAATTATAACCTTAAAGTAAGTCCAGTGCTACAAACTTCTGAAGTCAGGAGATTCCTAGTTATCCAGTACAAGACCTGTTACAAAATATACTGCCAAGCCAAACACCCATGACTACTTCTATTAACCATAATGACTCAGTGCCACTAACGTCATAATCAAAACTGATTGTACCCTGTTTCATTAGTGGCCAGTATATTTATGTATGTGTGTGTAATGTAAACCTCATTCCTGTCAGTTATTTGTGTGTGTGTGTGTGTGTGTGTGTGTGTGTGTGTGTGTGTGTTGCTGGTGTTGAACCCAGAGCCTCACACATGCGAAGTGTGCACTCTGCCACCAGGCTGATGTCCCAGCCCCTGAATTTCTTTTCAACTAAAAATAGAAGCAGTTTTCTTTCTTTCCATAGCTATACCTTTCATTTTTTTTCTCTTGCCATATTTCACTCACTAAATTGTGGTGTGGTGTTGAATAAGACCAAGTACCTTGGTCTTGTTCAAGGTTTTAGGGGAGGATGCTTTAGGCTTTCATAATTAACCATAGTGCTGGCTGTAGAATCTTTGTAGATACCTTGATCAGATTGAGGGAGTTTTCTCTGAATTCTTCTAAGAAGAATTTGGATTAGATTCTAGCTTAGACTTCTAAATATATATTTTTTTGTCTTTTTCTCCCCCGTTCCCTTTTTTTGGTACCAGGGATTTAACACAGGGCCTAGCACTAAATATGTACTTTTTAAAAATTATACTTCATAGTACTTTTATTTTCTAAGTAATTTACTTTCACTGACAATATATATTTAAGATTGTGATATTTAAGAAGATATGTGATGCTTGTGTTGTTTGTACTGCTTATAATAAAACCATCATATGTAGTTTCAAAGTGATTTTTCCGAGGTTAGTAGGGAAAAAGCTTAGGTTTTGTTTCTTTCAAGATTAGATCTATTCAAGCTGAGCATGGTGGCAACATACACGCTTGTAATCCAGGCACTCGGGAGGCTGAGGCAGAAGAATTGCAAGTTCTAGGCCAGCTGGGGCTACATAGTAAGTTCAAGGCCAGCCTGTACTGCAAAGAAAGACCTTGTCTCAAAAAAGAAAAAAAATTGGATCTATTCAGATTCAAACAGGCAAATATTGTAGTTTTTATAGGAGTAATAAATACTGTGGGTTAGAGAATTAAATTTAAAATACTTCTGTCTCATCTAGCCAAACGTCTGAAGTCTAGTACCAGTTTTGCACACATTCAAGAAAATTCAAACTGAAACCTATAAAGTGGAGATTCGACCTGTCACGTGGACAGAGGTGGAAGACAGCGTGGTGAGAGACAAGAGAAACCGACCCGACAAGTCAAGTGATTGAGAAATGCAAGGAATTGGATTTATTCTTCGATAAGAATTTTCAACTTTTCTTTTTCTTTTCACCCCTTTTTAAAGGAATATCCGATTCCTTAAAAAACATAGTTGTCTATTTTAAAGTGTATTTGTTACAATAACAAAAAATATAAGAAAAACCTTTATTTTGTAGACATACCATCACTACTTGAGACTTCTTTTATCTCCTTATTAGCATAAGTACCTCAAGTAGAAAAGTTTTTGAAGACTAACATTTAAAAATTAATGTTATAAGGGCCGGGGGATGTAGCTCAGTGGCACAGCGGTGGCCTGGCAAGTACAAGGTCCTGAGTTGCATTCCTAGTACCAAAAAAAAAAAAAAGACATATGAAATCACTAACTGAGCCAGGGAGATGGCTCAGCGGTACAGAACCTGCCTGGTAAGCTCAAGGTCCTGAGTTTGATTCCCAGTACAAAAAAAATTAATGTCATAGCAAAGTCTTTGAAAAAGAAATACACTTGCTAAAAGGTAGCAGATCCAAAAATTAATTTGAATCATTCCTCGTTGCAGTATTACTGTTATGGATATATTTAATATGTCATTTATACAATAATATATCACTCAGTGTCTTGTTTCCTTAATGTTTTTGAAATCACTAATTGTAAGCACCCTTCACAATTTTTAGGAGTGGTAAGCCACATTACATTTATCTTTGTAAAAAGATTTATGGTAACTGGTTTCTTACTTGATTTTGTAAATAGTGTTTTACATCTTATTTTTGCCTTTATTTCATAAGCAATTTGAACTCACTGGACTGCTTTGTTATATTAGGGGCAAGATGGATTCTTTTTCTACCAGGGATTTACATTGTGAATTACATTAAGTTATTTGGCAATTTATAATTTATTATTACTTTAAATCAAATGTAATATTATCAAACTGTATTTAAATTATGGGTTTTTTTAATGAGCAATTACTCTTGGCATACATGGAGACTTTTGGAGAAGGGAGAAAAGAGGAATGAGTAAGTTCAAGGGTCAGAAAATAGAGCCGTGAGGGGCTGCTCAGTAGCGGACCGTGGAATGGTTCACGTCGGAGCTGGGAGTCAGGCGGTGATCCGCACACGCAGGGGTAGGTAAGGGTGATGCTCAGTTCTTCTCAGTCCCACACATGAGATGAAGTCCATGTGGCTGAAATGAAGTCACATCTTCACTGTCAGAAAACAAGTTCTATTTTAGAATACGTGTTTCAGCCTTTAAAACAATGCTTTGTTTCAGAATTGTTCACAATTTTATTTCTCAGGGTTTTAGAGTATTTCATTTACTTCTTTTTGATTTCTTGGCAGAAATAGGCTTTGTTTTAAATGTTGAGAATATGATGGCTCCTTTGTATAGTTTGGTTAAATAGTAAGAGAATTTGAATCTTTTCATAGACTATAAAATGTTAGAGAAACTAGAGAATGCTTTTGGTTTTGTTTTATGTTTACTGTGTATGCAGAGTGAAAGAGAAGGCCCACCCTTCAGTATGTGACATTTCTAAAACTGTTACAGTTTCTCTGATCTGCTGGGATCCATTTAAAATGTGCTGCGGTTCTGCTGCCGCTGTTCCTGCTGCTCGTGCTAACTGCTGTCTTGATTTGACGCATGTGGCTGAGGGTCATTGAAAGCAATCTTCATTAATGCAGATAAAACCAGTTTACACATGAAAAGTTAGAAAAATGACGTGTTTTCAGTCTCAAAGTAGTGACTTGAGCACCTTTGAATATTATGTTTGTAAAAACCGTTGCTTTTGAATATAAAACTAATAAGCACTTTAAAAAGGAAGAGACAGTCTTTACAATTTTTCTGGTGAGGTCATTGCTTTTTAGAGGTTGCATAAGCAGTAATAGAATTCAAAAATAAGTATTAAGTGCTGTACTAAATTTCATAAGTATTTCATTTTGTAGTCATAGCAAAAGTTATTTGCATAGTTCTAAATTCTGAGACAGATCGTGCCTGTGTTGCACAAGAATATCTCCAAATTTTTGAAACTTTAAAAGAATTTAAGGAAATTAGAATGATGTATAATTTTTAAATACTTTTTGAAAACTTCAGATGTATCATCACACCTCAGTTTTTCAAGTATTGAGTTTAAATGTTCATCTTTTAAGATTTTATTCAAATAAAATGTACTTTTGGATTATTTCTCTTGTGTTGTTCAAGAAATAAAAATTACATCAGCTATGTTAAGTGTAACTCTAAATCAGTGAATAACACTGGAGTTTAGTTGGTAAATGTTACTTACTTCTGTGGGACCAGTACTTTGCGATGCTTTATGGATGAACTGACTGTACTTATTACTGTAAAATATTCCTTATAAAATGAAATGTTTTCTGGCAAGGATGTTGTAGTTAGGGTTATTTTTCTGTCAAAGACCAGACCTCAGTAGCAATGGCTTTTGAGAACAAAACTATTAGTAGTGACCTGTGTAACAGTTTTAAATGGGAAGAACTGTGTTCCAACTACCTGTATTTTCTGAACTAGAAGAAACCTTCAAGACCATCTGGTCGTAGAACCCCAGAGCTGCTGTTCTGGCCGTTGTACTGTGTGTCTTCAGAGACAGAAGCCAAAATAGAAAAGCCTTGGAACCAGAGTAGCTTTTGTTTTCATTCTGTCCTCTTAGCACATCACTTTCTGCATCCATTTGAAGTGCTGCTGCCAGGCATACAATAGGAGCTGAGATACAAAGAGCTTGAGCTTGGCTCTTTTGAAACCTCTTTGTATCTTGGAAGAAGCCACAGTGTGTACAACTCAGGGACCTTACCAGTCAAAATCCCACTCCTGTCCCACAGCATACACGTGTTCTGTCTCATTGCTTTTCTCCTGTGGCATTGGAAGATTAAGAATCTGCATATGGAATTCCTGCTCCCTCCACTCAGAGAGTCCTGAAATGTACCTGAGGATCCCAGGGTGCAGTCTGATGGTAAAGGGGAGAGGGCCGGTTTGCCTAGGTTCACTGTCTGGTAGTAGATTGTGTGTCTACTGAGATACGTTGGGGAGGTGAGATTATGGGAAGGGCTAAAGATCTGTGACTTGGTGCTGTCTGGAATGCTTTCCCTCCGTCTACTCAGGCCGTAGCCTTGGCTCCAGCCCAGTATCTCAGTTAGCAGTACCATGGAATGAGTGTGGCCCAGTCAAATGACACCCCAAATTAACCGTCACAGGATTCTTGGAGTCAAAATGTTTTATGGCTGTTGTGCTATTTGTGAAGAAAGTAAGAAGTCCATGTAACACTGGAGATTAGGATTCATGTTGAAATTGTTAAGGTAACTACTAAAAGTGAAAGAGGGTGTAATTTCCAAGTGAAATGAAGAGGGAATTATCTATATAACAAAGTCAAGAAAAGGAAATGATAACATAGAACACACAGGACAGTGAGATGGTAGATTTAAATCCAAATATAGTAAATAGATTAAGTGTAAATAGGAAGAGGGAGGTAGAGAGGGAGTTGAAGCCAGTATCCTTTTCTAACCAGACTTGATGGACATGACACAAAAAGCAAACAATAAATCGCACATAAAAATAGGGAGGCAAGGTTGGGTGTGGTGGCACACACCTGTAATCCCAGCACTTGGGAGACTGAGGCAGAGGATTGCTGTGAGTTTGAGGCCAGCCTGGGCTATGTAGTGAGTCAAGGCCAGCATGAACTACATAGTGAGACCCTTTCTTTAAAAAAAAAAAAAAAAAAAACAGAGGCAAAAATTACAAATATAGGGCTGGGGATTTAGCTCAGCAGCACAAGCACCTTTCTGGCAAGTGCAAGGTCCTGAGTTTGATTCCTGGTACCAAAAGAAAAATTACAAATACAGTATCTGTGAACTCATGAGTGTGCTAAAAGATAGTATACCTTGAGCAAGTTAAAGTTTATTCTTGAAATTCAGGGTACTAATAAATTTGAATAATAGAGGTATCCTTTAGTTATAGAGCCATCACGTGTCACCTTGTTGGAACCCTGATTTTGTACAGCCACAAGATTGTGGGCCTTGAGGATAAATACAATTCCCACAACTCTGACCTTGTCCTTTGTCACCTGAGCTACCACCTAGAAAGCTACCTACTCTCTGAAGGTGATTTCTCATCATAGGCATTTCCCTAGAATTCTGCTGCAGAAATCATAAAATCTCAGATTTGTCTATGTAAAAACAAAATATTTCCATCATTTTAAAAAATAAAGAGCCTCCTGAAGGCACAAAATGAATAATCAGCTGGGAGAAGTAATATGCAACATACATGACAAGTAATTCATCTTAATCTATAGTGTGCTTAAGATTAATAAGATAATTTGTAAAAGTTAAAGGATAAAACTAACTAGAGGTAAATAAGTATCTCACAAAAAAGTCGGTACAAGAGAAGTATTAAAGCCAGTGGAAATATGAATAGGTATTCCATTAACTATTAATGAACCATAATTTTTTTAAAAAAAATCGCAGCTACATAATGAAACTAGATTCTATCGAATGGTTGGCAGATACTAGAAGAAATGGTAGTATCTGGTGGTGAAATGAGAATAATTACTTCTGTGATAGTGCAAATGGATACAAATTTTCCAAAATGGTTTTTTTTTTGTACTAGTGATTGAGTCTGTGGCCTTCACACTGAGCTACATCTTCAGTTCTTTTTATTGTACTTTTTAAAAATTTTGATACAGAGCCTTTCTAAGTAGCTAAGTTGCCTGAGTGGGCCCTGAACTTGCAGTCCTCCTATTTTAGTCTCTCAGAGTGCTCAGAGGAAATTTTCTTAATTACTTCGTTAAGTTTAGTTCTGAAAGCAGACAGTCAAATGGGTACTGGTAAAAGTTTTTGTTGCACTTAAGGTGGGTTGCAGGTACATTCTCTTTTGTTGTTGTTTTATTCCAGTACTGGGGCTTGAACCCAGGGCCTTACCATTGAGCTACATTGCCAGCCCTTTTTAAGTCACTAAGTTTGCTAGTCTTGCTAAATCACTAAGTTTCCCAGACTGGGTTTGAACTTTTGATCCTCCTGCCTCAGTCTCCCAGAGTGCTGGGATTCAGGCATTTTCCACCATGTCCTGCTGAATACATTCTGACTCATCCAATTCCACTCCTCTCATGGTGCCATGATATTTTTTTATGGTTTTTCTTCTGTTCTTGACTTTTCCATTTTTGTCATGCTGGTAAACTGGGGATTGAATCGAGGCCCTTCACCCTGAGCTACATCAACCAGGCTGTTTCAATTTTTCTTTTTTTTTTTTTTTTTGGTACTGGGAGTCAAACTTAGGACCTTGCGCTTGCTAGGCAGGTGCTTGTGCCACTGAGCTCTATCCTCGGCCCCTCAATTTTTACTTTGAAATGAATTCTCAGGGGCTGGGGATTTAGCTCAGCGGCAAAGCGCCTGCCTGGCAAGCGCAAGGTCGTGAGTTCGGTTCCCGGTACCGGAGAAAAACCAAAAAGAAAAAAGAAAAAAAAAGGAAATGAATTCTCACTGCGTTGCCCAGGTTGGGCCTGAGCGTTTCATCCTCTTGCCTCAGCCTCCTCCCAGAGTGCTGGGATTATAGGTGTGCACTGTCACCTTGGTTTCTTCTTTGTCATTTATACCAATAGTTTGATGAATGATTTTGGAGTCCAGAATACTATTTCTCTAGGACAGATGTCAAGATATATTCCTGAGCTACTCTGTGTTAGGTTGTAAGTTGTCTCTGTAGCAGGCCCATGGAAAGGGATGTTTCAACCTTGAAGAAAGTCCTTCGGCTGCCCATAAAGAGTACACAGTAGGGGGTAAAAATACAGCTACCTGATGGAAAGCCAGATGCCCTCCCTTACATTGAGGAACCCTCCAGTTAAACCCCGCAGGCTCCAGGCTGGAGCCAGTGCCCGTGCCCATGGGCTGCTACCCTAACACTAGCACCCTAGATCCTAAGTGATAGTATTAGACCAGACTTTTGAAAAATACCAACTTCTAAAGCAGACAGTGGAAAAACATGGCAAGGATGCCCATAACTGGTTTAATTCCTTTCCTCTTCAGTAATCCCACACGTTACCTACTTATTTGCTGTAATGAACATGCCATTCGGCTGAAATAAGATTAACTGCTTAAACCACAGCCTTACAGGCAGAGAACTTTAATGCCGCTTTGTGTTTCACTGGAAGGTTCAGCAGTTAAACGATACGGTGCTGTCCTTTCTTCCTTTGTAATCAAGATGGTTTCGCTTAGGATTAGAGCTCCCCAGCCAATTCTCCTGATGGAACAGTTGAAGCAGCAAATTCATACGTCTGTGTTACAGCCTGGCAGCATAACGACCTTCGGCATCGAACCTGTTGGCCTCATCAGCGCTCAAATTGCACCGCTTTGTGAAGCCCCCTCTGCTCGACGGTGATGGAAATCTCGCCTGCCATCAGGCTGTGGCAGGCAAATTGAAAAGAGGCTTAGGCATGTATCTGGAAAATAGCACTGGGATGCCCCAGATGGGAGCAGGGTCCAGAAAATTAACCCGCATCCCCCCCATGTGAACGAACATTCGCCTGTTCTCTGCGTCAAGGTCAAATCCTGCTTCTTCAGTAGAGCTTTTTGGACTATTCCAGCCTCACTCATCTCTCTTTTCTTCGAGCTCTAATTATAATTATACTTCTCCCTACATTACTTAAGGCTGATTATTTGTTGATTTGTGTGATTCGTATCATTGTTCTGTATGAGCTAATGCTGTCTCTTCGGTTAGCCTGCGAGCTCTCAGAAGTCAGGGACCAAGAAATGCATGGCTTGTGTTCCTGTGCTGAGGGAGGGCCCTCTGTGGCCTGGGGCCCCTTGTGACTTTGCCTGGAGCGGGTCTGGAGTGGGAGGCAGCTCTGGCAGAGCACAGCAGGAGCCCTGTCCTGCCCACACCTTCTCTTCCAGGGAGCAGATTCCCTTTTTGTGGTTCATAACATCCAGGACCCAGATACAGTCAACATGATGCCAGCAGATTCACCCGTCCATTTGCTGCCCTTTCATTCAATAAGTATTAAGCACCTACTGTGTGCCACATCCTCGCAAGACTAAACTAACAAACCCCTTGCTGTTTAAGCAGAAATGAGGGAAATTTTAAAAGAGCTGGAGGAAAACATGTCTTCTCACACGCTGCCCTTCAAACCCAGCTTTGGAGCAGAGCAAACTTGTGTGGCCCTGTCAGTCACCACTTTCTTTCTTCCCACCTCTCCTCTCTGCCTTCCTGGCTGCGCTAATAGCAGTCTATTGTGTTTTACTGTGTAAAACTGGTCAGTTCAGGTCTCTGCTGGCTCTAGCCAGGTTGAAGGGGTGCCAAGTGTGCTCATCTGGATGGGATTTAGCTGGGTCAGGATTCCTTCAGTGGACAGGAAAGGGGTAAGGAGGGAAGGAAGAGATCAGGTTGGC